TATGGGGCTGCCCTTATATAGGCTAACTTTAGCTGGCTGATATGTCTTGCTCTCCAAAATGCCATTAAGATTTTGCTCATTTATGTTTAGATGCAATTAATTGACTGTGACAGGCAACAGCAGTGAAAATCCCTACTGTTTTCATGTTACCATTATGGGATAGCTACCTGAATGTATAAATATCCAAAAACTATGTCAATGATTATACAAATAAAGTATTTTTAGTGGTTGAGTAGCATATTGAGATTACTAAATACATGATTTCACTAAATTCAGAATGTAGTTTTGCTAGTAAAGGTAAAGGGAAGGGAATGCTACAAATTAATAAGCCTGGGATAAGAATAAAGGTCAATGTTAAAACAATGGCATTTGTGTTTTCCCACTTCACACCCTTTGCAGCCAGTTTGGGTGTAGTTTTATTATGGACCAAAGCTCTTAATCTGAAGCACGAAGAATCAGATCATTTTTCTGTACATGTGGAAGCTGTAGCAAAATGTATTAAAAGCAGGGAATGAGGTTTTGAACTCTATGCATTGGATTTTATGTGGGCTTGTCTTTTTGAATTATGCCTACATGTGGGCATCTGAGGGACTGGAGATAAAAGAGGTGCACTGTGAGTGAGAAGGGAAGGTGCACTCTCCCTACGCCATCCAGTATAATCCAGTCTTCCCTCTTGGGTTTACCCATGTTGTGTTTTTATGCCTTGGCAAATATAAATAGGGATATTCTATGCGGTATCTTTTAGAATGTTTATGTAGGCCAGAGAGAAAGTATAGTAAAATTCTATAAACTTCACACAAAAGCAGTATATTCTTGAACCCAAATGAAAGCACCAATGAAGTGGTATGTCAATCAAAATGGGGTCAAACATAGGGTAGCTGACAGTTGGAGACTTAAAGGAAACATCCCTTTGTGGCTTATTTCTGAACACAACTCCCCAATCTACTGTTGAAGCTATTTCTGAACACAACTCAACAACCTACTGTTGAAAATAGTAATTAAATTTGTATATATTTCATCGACTTAATGAGTGCCAGATGTTTGATCAAGAGAGCTGAGCTAAAAGCTGAGCGGAAGATAAAGATCTTTACAAAAACAAAAAATTGCGCATTTATTTTTCTCTAAGCAGCAATGGGATTATATAAATATAGTCATTTAAAATCTGTTGTTCTTTATATGAAATAAAAACATGATATAGACACGGTTGCCAAGTATATGACACTGCAAATGCCAAGTAGGAATGGAATGAGATGTTGAGTGACAGGGGATCTTGCCACTTGACTCCATTTTTATAAATTCTAGTCCCCTTTCAACTGGAAATGCAGTTTGCACTCCATTTCTGTAATTTCCCACAACCCTGCTAGTTCCATTCTCACCTTCCCTAAACCTGAAAAGCCTTACTTTGGGGACTGGAGACAGAGCTAACATGAGGGGGCAGGCTAGCAATGTTCAGACAGGAAAGGTCCCACAATGCCTCTGTTTAGCTAAAAATACTGCACAAAGCAAAAGCGGTTGGGGGGTTTGTAGTTTTCTATCTATAAGTTTGATGATCCCCAGCAGGAAAGAAGCCACACCACATATCATTTACAACTAAGAGAAAGTCTTGCAGGTCTTTCTTATATACAAATGCGGCTTCAGCTGTCTGTTGCTCCTTTCTTTTAAGACAGACATTTCCCGCCCTAAAACTGCACCAGGGAATGACATCATGGTGTAGCAGGCCGGCCCGCCCATGAGGCAGACTGAAGCAGTTGCCTTCGGTGCTGCAATCCCATGAGCAGCAAACCCTTCCCACTGCCAGGGTTGTGTGGCTGCTGCTACAGCCTCTGGAAAAATCTTTAAAAGCTTACGTGAGGCTTTGGTGGCAGCAGTAGCACCTTCCCATTTCACCTCAGGTGGCAGAACAGGATGGGCTACCCCCTGTGATGCAGCATAACTCCCATGAGGCACTCTGTCCTTAATTTGAGGGGGACACTGGCAGGTTGCTGAGGGCAGCCTAGCCGACGCTTAAAACACCTGTGAATCTTTTCTTCTTTTAAGAAACAAACCCAAATCCTTGGCCACCAAATGCTCTGAGATTTTCGCCCCTTCTCCCACAAGAGCTGAAAAAAGTTTGGACCAAATGTCTCAGCATAGCACTCCATTTAATAGTATAGGCAGCTTCTCCAGGGCATATAGCAAAAGCTTTATCTTCATGGCAATAGCTGCTTCTTATAAACATCAATTTCCCAACACCTTCATGCATCGTTAGATATTTATATCACACTGAGCTTATTAAGTACAAAGTAAGTAGTTTACTGTTATTCATGTCTAAAGTAGTTAAGCAAAAAGAGTGGTTCCACATGAAGTTTTAATTCTGAATATCTTCTGAGCAAATTTATTCATTTTGATTTTTCTGCACATGGCCATCACTGCCACAGCACACTAATTTTGAAAACACATCAATAATCAGAACAGACATTTATCACCTAGCTATTTGATTTATGGACTTGAGAGCTTCTGGGAACAGTATACACTTCTCATCATGATCCATTAAATTGAGCAGCTAGCTGAAGATTGGTCAGTGATTGTTAGACATTTGTGCTAATTTGGGCGGCGGCGGCAGCAGGGGGGGTATACTTCCTTTGTTTTGATATTTCTGATAGCTTATCACCAGGGGACTAAATATTGAAATTTCCATTTATCTTCAGGCATCTGAATTACTTTCAGCATAACTGGGCAAGGTTGACAATAATTTGTTGTAGTTAATTTTCAAGCACAAAAAAATATCAGTATACATTTTGGTGAAGATAGCAAGGTTCGGAATTTCACAAACGGCAGGAGATTGTTCCATGTTAAACATGTAGTATATCCAAAGCCTGGAGTGAGGCAGGTTGTGTCAATGGGAGGTTGTGTCAATGGGACTCCAATCATGTGACTAACAAAATGACCATTGGGAAACTTTACAGCGATCCCACACTGGGATGTAAGATTACTAATAGTGTGTTTATTTATACTAGACTAATAGGCTTGGAGCCTAAGTTAAATTAACTTAAGGAAGCCATGGATGAATGCAAAGGGGCTTCTGAGGCAGAGGGGGTGGGAAACGATCCTTCCATAAATGTTCATAACTTATCTTAGGTTCTTTTCCCAATTCTGGGAACCCCCACCTCCAGCATCCTATTCTACATTTTTGGAGGGTGGGGAGGGCAATCAGGTAATAGAAAAGGGTATACTTTCTTTCTGCAAACTTCAGCTAACTTATCTTAGGATGGAAGTCATGGTTTGATTTGCCTTATAAATGCACCATTTCCTACCATATACACACTTTCCATCTGTTGCCATTGTGTGGTGTGCCTTTGAAGCACTTGCAAAGCTCTGGCAGTGCAGCTTTCCCTGGAGTGTCCCATTCAGACTATTCTGTATTTGCATCATAACAGAACCTGTGCACAAACAATAGTGGCCAAGGATAATAGTCAAGCAGCTAACCATGCCATTGGTTTTAATGTTTGTTTGATTGCTTTTAGAAAGTCAGGTGACACCTTTCCACCTGTCCTGCCAAGAATCACGATTGAATAATGCTTTCATCCATGCGGAGTAGCGAAGGTAAAATGTCATTTTTAAAGACAAGAGTGGCAGAGTGCTGGGGGAGAAGGAAATGCAGAAATAAAATGACACAGGTGTGTCTTTTATGTTTTCATTCTATTTATGTTGGCTGCTGAACATTTTCTGATGACAGATGCCACCATTTCAGAACTGCACGGTTACATATTGCTCTCAATCGACAGGGGACCATATACAAAGCTAACATTTTGCTAACATGAAAAGTATCAAAAAAAGTGACAGTTGTCTGTTGTTTGAAGGGAAACTGTTGCATGGAGAAAGTAAAGAGAAAAGGATGCAGAGGAAAAGCTCTCTTAATGAACAATTTCTTCATAATGAACAGAAGATAGAGGTTATGTAAAAGGGTATTTCCTCTTTTGCATTTGCATTTCATTTTGCTCTGCCTCACTTTATGGTAGGATGATGCCATTTTAAAAAATTGAATTTTTCAGTTTTCAAATTCCAAAAATGAGGGGTGCTAAAAAGTTCTAACATGACTCGAGAATTCAAAATCTATTTGGGTTAAGTTAATATAATTCAGTTTTGCTTTGTAAGTAAAATGTGTGTAAATTTGCACAGAAATCACTAAAAAGACTGCCGAGTGCTTGCACTTACATTAAATATTATTATTTAGCATTACTGATATTTTCAGAAGGTAAAATTAAAATTCTTTGGTTTTCCGAAAGCAGTTTATGTGCTTCTTCATCAAACGCAGACTTGAGAAGCTAAATGTTGTCCAATCACAAAAACAACAGCAGATTTGAATTCCTCAAACCCAAAAACCTATTTTTAAGACATCTCACTGAAGAAATTTGCAAAAATTAAGTTTCACTCCCTAAAATGACATGCCATGGTGTTAAAGGGTGCTTTCAAAGCAGCCGGGTGCAATGCAAGTTAAAAGTAAACCATGACACAATGTGGAATTAAAATGCTGCCAGACATTCATTGAGAAGAAGTAAGCTATGCAGTCACGATTCTGCATACTCTGTGCTAAATTATAACCATAATTCTTCTTCATCAAGGTAAACAAAATCCTGTGCTAAGAAACGATGACTTTTCTTGGGTGCATACTATTTTGCAAATTCACTCAAGGAATGAACAGATTTTCTCCATTTCATTCCTTTCTCATTCTGTTAATTTGATCTGCCCTATATGCCACCTCTTTTAAATAAGGGTTTCTAAAATCAGTTCCAGACTCAGAGCATGCACACTTTGTGGCAACATGCAGTTGCTTCAATTCACTCCTATCTTTTCCCCACCCCCTCTATTTTACCAACAAATGTTCATGTGTGTTTTTTTGCAAACTAAACAATAGGCTTTGGTGACTAGTAGCCCCTCTGTTAAGAAGCTTTCGTGCCACTTTGACAAAGAGAGTGGAAGTATCAATTATTTGACAGACGATGGGGAAGTGAAACTATTACCTTAATGAGAACCTGGATGCGTCCTGTTGCTTTTGAAGACATGTAGTACCAGAAACTCAGCATGCAAGTGGTGCTAGACTCTGCCCATCTGGAGCTCTTGAGAAGTGCTTTTTCACCTCTTACTCCTAGTGACATCGCTTCAAGGTAGAGGAATTGTCCTGGAATCAGAAATGATGCAGGATGTGAAAACGGCAACAATAATAAAACAGCCGGGGGGGGGGGGGGGGAGAGAGAGAAATGGAAAAGTACCACTACAGAGCTTGTTGTACTAAGCAAAAGCTCTCTTAGCCACCTCTTATCACACAGAATATTTTTGGATGCATAATGGGAAACAGGGCAGCCACATGAAGAGGTCTGTGGAATGGTTAGAAAACAAGTTTGTTTACCTTTAAGTGTTGTTTTTTAAGTAGGCATCTATGCAGTCACATAGCAGATGCTGTATTGTGTTCCACCCATGCCCAAATGTAGGTGTAAGAACCACCTCCAGCACTGAACAGCTTCCATTATAGCCTCTTTATTGCTGAAAACCTTTATATGAAACTCATACACCTGGCATGTATTCGGTAGTAGACATTCCACTAGGGACAACTTGGCTACAATCCCAATAATTTATTCTTTGCCCAGACCAGCTTGACTTGGTTTCCCTAACCTTCTGCGTTCACAGGACAGCTTAAGATCCAAGATAATTTACTTCTACAGAAGCTCAGGCTTCAGTAATACAGTTTTGGATACAGCTTGTAGGCTTTGCAGACACAGATATACAAGTGGAAAGTATTTCTATTGCTCCAGCAATTCCAAGGTATAACAGACAGACTCACTGACTAACTAACGAGCTGATATGCCTTAATCACTTATATAGACAGCACTGGGCTGTTGTCATAGCAACTGGTTTGGCTGATTCCGCATCTGATGGCTTTTCTCCTACATGGGGTGATTTGTGACCATGGAAGGAAATTAAACCCTTCCTCCATGCCTAGTTCCTCTAACATAATCACTCTTCTGATCCCTATTCCAACTGTAATCAAGCATTTGTACATGTACAAATGTATACTCTTCCCATGACCGCGTGGGCACCCCAACTTTCTTTGCTTTTCATTTGCTGAATTCTAGATTGCGACATCCTTGGGAAAGAGATCTGTCCCTCTTTTCTTTGTAAAGCTTTGTGCATGCCGATGGTGGCATACAATTCAACATATATTTTTGTATGGGCATAAAAGCTCATAATGGAGAAGATCCCTCATACCCCCCACAATGTGAATCTCACTTTGACATTCATTGGTTGTTTTAAGTCTGCAACAATATTGTTGGGAAATGAATGCTGCCATGCCAGCTCCAGGGGGAAGATCTAATCATCATTAAACACTGCAAAGAAAAGGTCACTTCTGACACTATAGGCATATTGTGTATTATCACAGCCATGGAAATAATGATGCTGAGGAACTGAGGGTTCAAACAAATAGCATGAAGTATGACTTTCCAGTGTATGATGAAAAGAAAATCATTTGCAAAAATGTTTCAGGTGCCAGCCGAAACATTTATTACAAACAGAGTTCCTTTATGGAGCAAGAGGTACAATTATATTGATGTTTCTTTGCTTAGCCACAGGAAAGTACATAATATGAAAAAGGCATAGTAAATACTAGGTTAGGCAACCCTTTCAGCAATAAAGACTCTGGAGGTGATTTTTGCCCACATATGATCAAATCACTCTTCTAAACATGAAGGCTAGAAACTTAACATAAAAATGGAAAGCTGGAATTGTTAGAAGCAGATAAGCCACACAGAACAATGCTAGAAGCCGCTTGTCTCCTATGGACATTCCCAGCTCTTCTGTTTGCATCTCTTTCCTTTTGGATTACATATACAGGTTATGGTTTCAGCACCTGGGCCTTTGCTTCTGCTGCTAGCTCAACCCTTAATTTTTTATGGAGTGATTACCCAGCTTCAGCTGGCAACCTAGATTGCTCACAGGGGTGTTGTGACAAAGGCTTGAATGTTTAGTCTTGACCCTGCGGAATTATTCACTCAGTGAAATGTCTGATTGGTGACTGGCTCAGCTTGTAACCTGGTACCGTGTGATACGGCTTCTCTTTCCCACCTGAGAAACAAGCGTGCAACTTCCCTGCACTCTGAGAAAGCAACAATTAAGAAGAGGCTGCTTTGCAAAACAGTGTTACAACTGCATTACAGAACAGTTTCCAGCATTAGGGATTTAACCAATTTAGATATTCATAACAGGACTCTAATTAGATTTAGAACTTGCCCTGTGTTGCATGGGATGGGATGATAAGGTTTGTGAATGCAGATAAATTCCCTGTGCTGAAGTGGCAACGTACCTTTCCCATTTCCAAGTGTGTGGTCTTTTGGAGGCCTGAGGCTTTGAGGTGAGCTGGTTCCTATAACCCAGTCGAAGTTATCCGCTAGGGAATTCTGCCAACCACATAAGCCATTTTCAAAAGTGCAGGAGGTCCCACATTCTCTCTCATCAGTATTATCTCCACAGTCATCCTCAAAATTGCAGCTTTGTTCTGGTCTATAACACTTGCCATTGAGACATTCCAAATAACCATGTGAGCAAGAGCCTGGAAAAAATATACACACAAACAGAAAGAGAAGAGAGAAGGATTTTGATGACAATGTATTCCATTGTTTCTAGCCAGACTTAATTGCTGGCGTTTTCTTTTACTGCAGAGTGAGGCGTTGAACCACATCAGTGATTTACAAAGTGCATGACAGGAAGTTCTGGATTACTCAATGGAGTGATTGGTAATAGTAGTCAAGCTTTTTTGAATTACGGCTTACTACCACCAACTGATTCAACCTTCCTCTACAACTCTCGCAGGGAGAGTTAAATAAATGTGCTCTATGGGTGTGATCAGTTCACACATAAACCTGAGGTTCAAAATGCTGACTAAAATCCAGAATGGACTGAATGGTCCGCTGTATACAGGAGTTCATTGACAGCTATGTAGATCCTATTTAGCATGAAGTTTGAAAAACCATTATCACATTTGAAATATTTTGAACGCCATTTTTAGCAGAAATGAATTAAGGTAAGAGGAGGGAGGCGGAACAATCATACTTTAACTCTTTCTGAAATCGTTTAGCTGGAAGATAGTCCTTTTGGAGTATCTGGAGCTCAGACTAAGCTACACACACACACACACACACACAAAGTATGCCTTGCCAAAGAAATCTCCATGAAAATGGAAGTGAATGGCACGTGGGGGGGGGGCAATACAGGAATAACTTTACACATTAATAGGCATACTGAGCAAAATGAAACTACATAAACTATTTTTGCATGTGCTTGCACTCTCTGGTGGAGTTCTAAACCTACCAATCAAGAAGAAAAGCCTTTTAAAACCACATGCACTGAATTCAAGCAAACATGTGAGGACTGGGATGCTGCTGTTTTGTTTCATTTTTAAAAGGAAAATGAAAGAAACTAACTGTCACAGAGATACGCACACCAGGTAATAAGGAGAGCCAACCAAGGGGATGATAAGGAAAGCCAAAACAATTTCTTTTAAAGATAGTACAAAATAATTTTAATAACTAGTTTTAAAAATTGCACTCTACCCTGCAACACACTGGCCCCAAACTAGACAGAACTAGTTCCAGTTACAGATAGGTAGCCGTGTTGGTCTGCCATAGTCAAAACAAAAAAAATTCCTTCCAGTAGCACCTTAAAGACCAACTAAGTTAGTTCTTGGTATGAGCTTTCGTGTGCATGAAGAAGTGTGCATGCACACGAAAGCTCATACCAAGAACTAACTTAGTTGGTCTTTAAGGTGCTACTGGAAGGAATTTTTTTTTTGTTTAGACAGAACTAGGCAATTAAGAGAACAATCCTGTACCCACTTTTTTGAGAATAAGCTCTGCTGAGTTCAGAAGGACTGACGTCTTGGTAGATATATACAGAATGTTGTTTTCAGTGTTTCCGCACTAATAAGAACTGAATGGGCATAATCCAAAGAAAGCTGAGTTCTTTTAAACCCTATTGATGCCATAGAACCATAGGGTTAGAAGGGTCCCTGAGGGTCATCTAGTTCAAACCCCTGGAATGCAGGAATCTCAACATGTGGTTCCCCCATCCAGTTTGAAACCATACTGGACCCTGCTTAGCTTTGCAAATGTGCTAGCAGTTTTATTGCTGCACCACCAGGAGGGTGCAGTTGGAACAATTTCCATTGAAATACATGGGTTGTACAACATAATCCTATGAATGTCTACTTGGAGGTATTATCCCACTGTATCCAAGAGGACTCATTCCTGAGAAAGTGTGTTTAGGGTGCAGCCTTGCAGTGCAATTCTACAGCATTGCTTGCTTCAAAATATTCACAGTATTATCTGTTGATAAAACAGAAGTCATAAAAGTGGTCTGGCTATTTAATGGACAGGAGAGACTCCTTGAAAGGGAAAACAAAAAATAATAATCCTTGAAAGGGGTCAATATGTTTTTCCACAGCAATGATCACAGAAGCTGTTAGCAAGTGGACTTTTTGTTCTTACTGTTCTTACAGCGCAGGCACATTGACCATAATAGACTCCAAGGAGATGTTAGTGTTTCTAAGATAAAATCCATGAACTGAGGAGGATTTACAACAAATAATGATAATGACTACACAGAAACTTTTAGAATCAATGTAGTAAAAAACACACACAAAACTTTTTGAAAACGAGAATGTTTTATATCATGGTGCTGGACAGAATTTGCTTGGCCACATGGTATTCATGTCTTAGCAACATCCATAGTAGACTACTGCAATGGGCTATACTTGCGGATGCCTTGGAATAATACTTGGAAGCAAAGTAAGAGCCAGACTTCAGACTTCACCATATGGCACTGATGGAATCCCCAAAACATATTCCTTACATCCCCAATGCAACCACACAGATTTTATCTTCTTCTGTTGCTACTGCCACAGTAACAACAGCACTCCCCACCAGGCCTCCTACTGCCAAATCTTAGGAAGATGGTGACCAGAGACAGAGTCTTTTCTGACATGGTGACCAAGCTTTGGGACTCTGTATCCCCAATTATTCACCCAGTGCCTACTTCAAGTGCCATGTTAAAAAAGAGTTTGCATGCACTGCAAGGTCTTCAAAAGGCACAGTGATTTTGTTGCTTTATGGTCACTAGTTTTACTGTTTGACTCCTTCTGCTGTTGTGTTATTCAGTTTCTATTGTTTATTGGTTGCAATGTTTTAATTGCAGCTTTAATATTATTGCAAGTCACCGTGTTGCCCAGCAGTAATTGATGTAAGATATTAAGCATCACAGTGATTTCTTAAATTACAGTAATGCTACTCAGTGTTTGCACACTGCTCAATTTCTGAAACATAACAGGAATAAAGGAAGAAGTATACTTCATGTGCACACATCTACATGTGGGGATCACAAACTTCCTACCAATGAGGGGAATTTGTAGTGGTAAATTCTTATATATATATTTTTTATAGTAATGGAGGCAGACCAAACTGCTAGATTTTGTATCTCCAAAGATTGGGTGTCAACCACTATACAGGCAACTCCCCACTTATGCGGGGTTACGTTCCAGGGCCATGACACCTAAGTGAAATGCGCATAAGTGGGGATACCCTTACATAAGTGGGGAGTCCTCATGGGTCATAAGGAGACCCTCCTCAAAGCCTGAAGAGGATGTCCTCTTCGGGCTCTGGGAAGCATCTCCTTGTGAGCCAGAGGGGCAGCAGAACTTTGTTGAGGCTGCTCATCCTCCCTGTCTAACAGCCGACATGTAGGGAAGCGCAGCAGCAGTTGCTACCCTGAACATCAGCTGAGCAGCCTCACCAAAGTCCCTCTGTCCCTCTGGCTCTGGATTCCACATCCGGGTACCCTGCTCTCAGCCTCCCTCCATTCATTTAAAGTTCCTGTTTGAAGAGACTATCCAAATACAGCCAGATACACCTAGGTCCAATACATGTGGTTCAGAACCCTGAAAAATAAGCTCATGCATACAATAAAAGGTAAAGGTAAAGGTACCCCTGCCTGTACGGGCCAGTCTTGACAGACTCTGGGGTTGTGCGCCCATCTCACTCAAGAGGCCGGGGGCCAGCGCTGTCCGGAGACACTTCCAGGTCACGTGGCCAGCGTGACAAAGCTGCATCTGGCGAGCCAGCGCAGCACACAGAAACGCCGTTTACCTTCCAGCCAGTAAGCAGTCCCTATTTATCTACTTGCACCCGGAGGTGCTTTCGAACTTCTAGGTTGGCAGGTGCTGGGACCGAGCAGCAGGAGCGCACCCCGCTGCGGGGATTCGAACCGCCGACCTTTCGATCGGCAAGCCCTAGGTCCTGAGGCTTTTACCCACAGCGCCACCCGCATCCCACCATGCATACAATAGCCTGTGCCAAAAACAGGACCCTTGAATAGAGGGAGGTCAAAGGGGGGGGGACTTGTTCTGTTCTCACTGCACTTTTGTTTGTGTCCAGATTAATGACTGAAGAGGGCTACAGCCATCTCAAGCAATGCAGGGAAAGTCTTCTCTCTCCTGAAAATGATAGATTTTGTGAACACTTTTGTGTTCACAAAACACTTTTGTGATAGCCAACACTTTTGTGAATGAACACACAGACATAAGACAAAATGAAGAGAGTGGTAAACAAAGACCAAAACCATAAATTTTAAAATATGTATTTCAGGTCATTTTTATACTATGTTCTTCTTTCTTTACAAGATGAATCACTTTACTTCCCATTCAACAAATGAAAGATAGGTAATAAGCTGTCTATGGCAAAAGGTGATTGCTTGTGCGGTAATAATAGCTACTGCAGTCACGTGTAAGCATTCCCTGTGAGTGGCGGAGCTTCATGCTCCAGCACCAGGGGGGGGAGAGCAGGTGGGGGCGTGGCTGGTGTGCGCCCCGGAGGCATGGTGTGCCACCCGCAGGGGCATGGCACGCATCCTGGGGGCATGGCACCCAGCATGGGCGGGGTTCAAGCGCGATTGAACCCCACCGAGATCGTGCTGCTGGGGGCAGTGCGCTCCCCCTGCCCCCCTCTTCCTCCACCAGTGCCCTGTGAAACTGGCTATTAGTAACCTTTACCTTTACTAATAATAGTTTCATTGTTGAAAGGTAGCAGAAGTCATTAATAGCCATTCCCAGCTGTAAAAAAATGTATCTAAGACACATGATGGCCCACATGATGCAAGAATTGTTGGAGCAGAATAGACCATGCCAGCCACACAGGCAGAACCAACCTTCTCCTGCCTTTTGGAGGTAGGAAGAAAGTTATAAAGGTAAAGGTAAAGGTACCCCTGCCCACACGGGCCAGTCTTGACAGACTCTGGGGTTGTGCGCCCATCTCACTCAAGAGGCCGGGGGCCAGCGCTGTCCGGAGACACTTCCGGGTCACGTGGCCAGCGTAACAAAGCTGCATCTGGCGAGCCAGAGCCGCACACGGAAACGCCGTTTACCTTCCCGCCAGTAAGCGGTCCCTATTTATCTACTTGTACCCGGGGGTGCTTTCGAACTGCTAGGTTGGCAGGCGCTGGGACCGAGCAGCGGGAGCGCACCCCGCCGCGGGGATTCGAACCACCGACCTTTCGATCGGCAAG